TTAGAGTGATGCGTGTGGGATATCCAGGGTGATCCAGTGTATGTGAACAGTGAGATGTTTGGGCGCTGAAGTCGCCATAGCTAATTGAGAGTGAACTCGTATCTGAAAGCCATATCTCTGAGTTTTGAGTGGGCGCATGTCGCCAGTACGCTGCGTTGCTGTTTACATGCATGAAAAGTGTGTTTGAAAACGAGTCTGATTGCACTTTAGGTGCGGGAAGCTGGGTTTGCTGGCGACAAGCATGCTCGAAGTGACATGGAGGCTCAGGGTAGGAGGGAAGGAGCAAGGGAAAGCCTCAATGGGGAGGCCCGCTCAGTGTACAGCGGGCTGCCACCCGCAAGGGTAATCTGTTTGAATGTGTCTGTTGAGTCTATCGAGTCTATTCATATCCTGCCAGCCGCAAGCGTCAGCATAGCATCAAGCCAAAAAAATAAAGGGCAGAGGAGTCCGGGCCCTGTGCTACTTGTGGTGTTTTTGTTTAAAGAAGGGATAGCAAACAAAGTAGGGGGGGCGGGATTGTGACAAAAGAGTGGGCTTGATTGTCAGTCAGTCACTCCTTCCTGAGGGGAGCAATGAATGCTGACAGTGGTCTCCCGGGCCGTGACGTGGGAGAGCGTGACGTTCATGTGATTTCCCCCAAGGGATGCTGGGCCCGGTTTTCCTGGCAGGTGACACCCTCCATCAACAGACCAGGGATGGCTTAAACCACCAGTACTTGGCCCAGCTATCGGCCGTGGAAAAAAAATAGAGTAGAAACGTTTCTAGTTGGACGAATTTGGGAGCTCCTGTAGTGGCCCGTACGTTTCCTAAAATTGTGGCTTGTTAACGGGCACGACTTTAGGAAGTACTGGTGGTTTAAGATAAAAAACAATAAAACAAATAATAAAAAAATCAAAACAAGTCAGAAGACAATGGAGGGGAAAAGGTACTGGTGGTTTAAGAACGTACATGCAAGTGGACGCCATGTGGAAAATTCGGCACGTTTGGCGCACGAGCGGGGACCCGCATGGTGCAGCACACGGGGGAAATATTCACTCAAAACGAAAAAAAGGGGTCCCATGGGTCTGGGACAATGGTCTCCTGCGTCCCGTTTAAAGATTTGTTGTGAGATGGGGAACAAAAAAAAAAACTACCCGTAGTGGGAGGGTAATGCCAGTACCTAAAGAGCCTCCCCGACGGTGCTTAAAAAAAATAAAAAAATAAAAAAAATCCAGTACCTAAAGTTCAAGAGTGACAAGACTCAAGACTGATGTCCCAGACACCTTTTCGAGGCTATTTCTCATGCCCAACTGGACGGACAGAAAAATCTGTCAGACTGGACTTTAAAAAGATCAGTTCCTTAGGGCTGTTGCACTCTTCTGTATCTACATAAACAGCAAAAAAACAAACAAAAACAAGGGAAACTGCCGTTGGTACAGCGCACCAGCAGGTGCTGCCCGCGCCACACGCCGAGCAGCGCAGCGCATGGTACGGCGCACTGTGCGGTTGCAGGTATGTTTAAGAATCAAAGTTAAAGAAAAACAGAATGCTTGCTTTTCAGTGTTCACACTAAGTTTCGGTTCGAACTTTTTTTTTTTTTTTGTAAAACCGACGAAAAGTTTTATAAAAGTTTTGGTTCGAACGGAGTTTGACTGGAAGCCCTTTCACTCCCACGCAAAGACTTTTTGAATGAATCTGTTTCTAACACAGATCATATTCAACCTTTTATGGCATCCTCAAGGATCCAAGCACAAAGGAAAAAAAATAAAAAAATAATAATAATAAAACTTCATGTGGCCTCAGTCAGGTGAGCTCTCTCCCACAGCTTCACCGAACAATTAACACGCGGAAAAAAAAGAAAAAAAAGAAAAAAAAGAAAAAAAAAAAAACACTCTGCAAGACAGCCATATCCCGCGCACCCCCCAACCCCGCAAAAAAAGTATGGGGGGAAAGAGAGGGGGAGGGAAAAGTGAAGGAGGGGGGGAGGAGTTAGGAAGAGGGAGGGGGGTTGGGGGGGGGGACCATCTCCTTCTTTGTTTTGTTTTGTTTTTTTCTGATTCATTTCTCAATCGAAAATTTCAAAATGCTTGATTTTTTTTTTTGGGGGGGGGTCGTTATCAGTGAATAAGGTGTAATGAGCGCTTTCTCACCTGGACGAGACGCACCCTATTCCTTTTCCGGGTAGCAGCAACCTCGCTGCTTGCCAAATTAGGAATGAAGCTGGTGACGAGTCAACCAAAGAGTTCCCCGGCAAATAGGCATCACGATCAATCCGCCTCTTCATCAAATTATCTCACTTCAAAAATTTTGAAACAAAACCACTCTTTTTTTTTCCAGTGCCAAATGCACGATGAGCCCTCCTTCGTGCCGCCACCACACAAAAAGCCATCATCATCATCATCATCATCATCATCATCATTTCGCACAAACAGAACAAAAATGACACCAATCAATTACCTGCTGCCTCGTCCCCTTTATCCCATCACAGCTCCCCTCTACGTGGGGAATCAATGAAAAATAGGGAATTGAATTCAATTAACAATTACTGAATTATACGATTAAATTATTAATTATCTAGCTTACCAGCGCGGACGTCCAGAACCCCTCTGGATGTCCGACTTGTCAGGTTGGACCACTGGGGAGACGTCCTCCGGAGACGGTATGTCCGACCCTCTAAAAAAAAAAAACTAAAAAAAAAAAAAAAAAAAAAAAAAATTGTTTTCTTTTCTGTGGGTTCTCCCTCACATGAGGTATATGCCACAAAATGTTTCGGTCATTTGAGCCCATAAACAAAAACAGGCAAAAAAAATCGTCAAGGATGTCTGTGTCAATTTCAACCAAATGGGTCTATCTTATTGGGGTCAATTTCAATCACACACCCCAACCCACCCCCCCCAAACCCCCCTTTCGCCATGTTTTGCATTTTATTTTCTTTTGCTCCAAATGAGCTGATTTTTTTTTTTTATGTGGTCACCTCATGTAGCACAGCCCCTCCCCATTTTTTATTTTTTTTTCGCTTTTTATTTTGTAGAAAATAAGTTGGACGGGAGTCCGGGCAACTTGCTCACGGGAAGTCCGACGGAGACGTCTCCGGGAAACGTCTCCGATCGGACATCTCGTAATCTAGTTAATTAATAATTATCGATATACCACCACCCTGAAAGCTGCCATTTTTTTTTCCATAGAAATCATACCGAACATTCGAACCAATCAAATGTCCACCGTTCAAAAAAAATAATGATAATAAAATCAAACGTCCACCACACGACCGATACTTTGTGGCATCAGTTAACATTGGAGCAATGCAGCAAAGCATAATCAGCATGGACCCCTGTGCAAGGATGGCATGCATAAACCGAGGGCCGAAAAAATATATAAATAAATCACTCTGAATAGTGCGTTAATTGCAGGCCAGGGCAAAACAAATAGCATGGTGCATCCTCGTGCGCCAACTGGGGGTGACATGATATCCCTGACATGATATGCCTGAGTGCGGAGGGGGGGGTTTATCTTGCTACAAATTAGTATAAGTACTATAAATGCTCTAGCCTTCCCCACCTTTGCCCAATATAGAATCGTTGAAGTCAGGGCGCAGTCTTCTTCTACACAGATGGCTGCAAAAGCCTTTTTGTGAAAAAAATTGTAGCGAATCCGAGAGTGGATGCCAGTTCTCAGATTCACAGATTTTTTTGCGACCATCAGATTTCACACCTGACTTTTCTTTTGTTTTCTTTTTTTTCTTTTTTTTTTCTTTTCTCTCTCTCTCTCTCTCTCTCTCTCTCTCT